CCAAGTTAAAACAAGTATATATTCACATTCATAGATGGTTACATAAGATACGCATTTTGCTATTTGCTTGGTGAGAAGAGTTAAGTACTGGAAAAATATAAAGTATACATGGCTTTAGTGAGCAATACATTTGGGAGAAAGCCTCAAGTATTGTGCATAGACAATGGGAGTGAACATACAGCAGATAACATGCAAAGGAATCTGAAAGCAGGGAGTTGTGCATCAAGCCACAATGGCCTATATCCCAGAAAAGTATGATATGGTACAAAGGAAAAAATGTTCCCTGATGGAAATTATGAGATACCTGTTACAAAATGCAGGACTGGTAGAAACAATATAACCACTCACTTGTAGAACATTATCCCTATGAAAGCCATAGATGCAACACCAAAGAGTTATGGCACAGAAGGAAATACAGTCTAGGAACACATAAAAGTATTTGGTTTTAAAGTTATGCATCTGGGCCAAAAAAAGAGAACCAAGCTACACTGGAGATGTGAGGAAGAAGTGATAGTTGGATACTTGCAATACAGCAAGGGATACACATGACCCATTGAAGTAGGCACCATTGCTTATTTGTTTGTTTGTTTGTATTTATTTATTTATCAAATTTGTCACTGCCCATCTCATTGAACGACTCTGGGCGGTTTACAAAACAGTTAAAATCAGTTAAAATTACAAAATTACAATAAATGGAAAATAAATAGATCCAGAGATAATTGGCAGTCACTCAGGGAGCATCATCAAGGTGCTAGCCACCCCCAGAATTGCATAAGGTTATCACCCCACGCAAACTGGCAGAGCCAGGTCTTTAATTCTTTCTGGAAGGCTAGTAGGATAGGAGCTTAACTATGGTTAAGTCTATCCATGTGTTGTGTTTTGTTGTGTTGTGTCACAACACATGGACAGACTTAACCATAGTTAAGTTGGGAAACTGTCAGCATCTTAGACCAAGCTAAATCCAAAAATGCAAGGGAATTCCTGGAAGCTTGGTACTCAGACAAGGCAGCCAGCAACAGGCACATAGAGATAAACAATATCTACACACTATTCAAAAGAGACAATAAAAAGGAAAACAAAAGACCAGAACAGCTCCTCACCAGCAGTCATCAGCCAGATAAGCAGAGATTAACAACAAGATTACCACCAGACATACAATCAAGCAGTAAACAATACCCTAATCAAGGAACTACAGATAAACAATATCTACACACTATTCAAAAGAGACAATAAAAAGGAAAACAAAAGACCAGAACATCTCCTCACCAGCAGTCATCAGCCAGATAAGCAGAGATTAACAACAAGATTACCACCAGACATACAATCAAGCAGTAAACAATACCCTAATCAAGGAACTACCAG